GGAAACTCTCTTCACCACTTCACCTCGCTCTTCCAACTTTGTCTCTCTCAACCCACGTGCTGGACATCCTCCACCTCTTTTCAACCGCACAACTTCTCACCTCATAGCTGCCTGACCAAGAGACACGTCTGCTTGCCACCTAGACACGCAGCCAAACCCTGCCATCCATCCATCTACCTACAGATACCGTCGCCGCATACGCAGACACAGAGACAGAGCTCCATCTGCGCTCATCCATCCCTCCTCCTACATCACCCCAGTGACGTCGAAGCATTCCACCTGCCCGCACGCACGCATACAAGCTCCAAGTAGCCTCGCGAGCCAAAAACCAAGCTTCAACGCCGCCAAAACCCACGAACAGCAACTGCACTCGAAGCAGCTGCTGTTGTCGCAAATCTCTCTATCCTCCCTTTCCATCTAAACATATTCAACTAGCGCAGCTCGCTGCCAACTTTCCGTCAAGATGTCCGGCGAAGCGTGGTTATACCTCTTCGCGGTGCTGATAAACGCCGTCAACCTCTTCCTTCAAGTCTTCTTCACCATCATGTACAGCGATCTGGAATGGTACGTTATCCTTCGTCTTATCCACCCATCTCCTTCCCGCCTCGCTGCTGCTGCTGCTGCGGCATGCTGCACGGCGCACGCCAGCTTCTTTCTTCCGTGCTCAGACGAGCTCGAGGCTAGACCGTGCTGCATGCTGCGGAGCGGGCGGACGCGATATAGCTGTCATCCCATGATCTCTTGCAATTGTATGCTAACATGCCTACTTTTACAGCGACTACATCAACCCCATTGACCTCTGCAACCGCCTCAACACCTACATCATCCCCGAAGCTGCCGTCCATGGATTCCTGACCTTTATGTTCCTGATCAATGGATACTGGGTACCTTTGATCCTGAACCTGCCGCTCGTAGCCTACAATGTCAAGAAGTATGTTCCCCCCTGTGACTCGCCTGGTGGTGGCAGAACTCGAGAAAGCTGACTTGACCCTAGGATTGTCGACAACACCCACTTGTTGGATGCTACCGAGATCTTCCGCAAGCTGAATGTCCACAAGAAGGTAAGAGCCGCAACACACCTTAGCTCTAGCTAGCTCGTGTCTGACAAACTCGCGCAGGAATCATTTGTGAAGCTCGGCTTCCACCTGATCATGTTCTTCTTCTACCTCTACAGCATGATTGTCGCCCTCATCCGCGACGAGTCCTCTTAAACGGTGAACTCTGCCCTGCGCACAACACACAGGACGGATTCCAGTATATAGATACCATGCCACGTGGACAAGAACGAACCAAACGTACACGCCGATGCGCTGCCATCCTCTAAAACGATGCACCATCCGGAGCTACTATCCAAGAGGGAGGGAGAGGTTTCGGGCGGGCAACCGCTAGACATGGAGGGGAGTCATGATACCAGCAATGCGGGGTGTCAAAAGGAGAAACGACAGCTGACAGATATGGTGTCCCGGAGTTACGGGCAGACATAGGTGTCTCTGCTTGGATTCTGATGATGATGAATGGGAAAGAGAAAACGGAATACGACACACAAGCACATGGTGGAGGAGGGCATGAAGGAACGAAACGGGCGGGAGACGGGTTACGATGCGAAAGACCAAATACCTAGCTGTTTACTTTATGTTGCTACCAGGCCGGCTGGTCCTGGGAGCGGCGGGTTGCGATAATTGAGTAATGACAGATCTTCTGAATGTCTCTTTCTTTGAAGCTTGTTGCCTTGCTGCTCCAAACCAAACCTTTTCAACGCGGCTGTTACCTTACTTTCAGACACCCTTGAGTGTGAGTTTGGTGTGTATGTGGTACCAAAAGCTGCCCAAGCTTTCCGTGCGCCTGTTTGCGCCTTGAACCTGAGCTTCGAGGTCGGAAACCGCAGATCCCAAGGGTAGCTCCCCGAATTCAAATCCTGACATCAGATCACGTGACACCAACTTTTTGCTGCCACGACCAGGAGCACCAGCGGCCAGTTGCGACCAAACATTGCGATTCTGCGACACCAGCAAAACCCACTCACTCACTGTTCAAATCTCTCGCGACGGACGAGACGACAGCACCCAAGATGTCGGGCTTCGGAGACTACCCGCCCAACATGGCGCCCCAGGATGCGCTCGTCGTGCGGCAAGAAGCCGAGCCCGATCACGCAGTCGTCCCCTACACCGGCGAAGACCTCGCCCGACCGCGCGTCGGCCCCGCGAACCCCTTTAAAGACGAATCCGCCATGACGCTGAAGCGCAAGAACGTTCTCACCGGACGGGCGGAGGAGACGTACATTTCAGAACACACCTTCCGCAGCAAACACCGCGCCGTCGAGCGGAAAGGCGGGCCCGAACGAGAGTACCAGACGGGCGCGGCCGTGAAAGAAGAGAACGCGCGGATACGGTCCGGTCGCGAGGGCAAAGGCGATGCGACGATCGTTGAAGGTGACGGTGCGTACCTGGGCCCCTGGGCGCGGTACCGTCGCGAAGAGTACGAAGTCGTCGGCGAGGGCGAGGCGCTGGCCAGCGACGAGGAGTACGAGGAGGTGACGGACGACGGCGAGGACGACGACGTGGTGGAGAGTGGGACGGTGCTGCGCGCGCCCGAGGCGGCGCTGGCGCGGAGGAAGGAGGTGGAGGCCATGGGCGAGGAGACGACAACGTTCCACGGCGCCGAGGAGACGGATTACCAGGGCCGGACGTACATGCACGTCCCGCAGGACCTCGACGTCGACCTGCGCAAGGAGGCCGGCAGCGTGACGAATTACATCCCCAAGAAGCAGATCCACGCGTGGAAGGACCACACGAAGGCCGTCACGGCGCTGCGGTTCTTCCCCGGGTCAGGACACTTGTTGTTGTCTGCCTCGGCGGACAGCACGGTCAAGATTTGGGACGTGTACCACGAGCGGTCGCTGCTGCGGACGTTTTCGGGCCACGCCAAGGCGGTGTCGGACGCGACGTTCAACAACGACGGCACGCGGTTCTTGTCGGCGAGCTTTGATCGGCAGATTAAGCTGTGGGACACGGAAACGGGCACGTGTCTGAGCCGGTTCTCGACGGGCAAGACGCCGCATGTGGTGCGGTTTAACCCGTCGGCGGAGCACGCTCACGAGTTTGTGGCGGGTATGTCGGACAAGAAGATCGTGCAGTGGGATACGCGCGCCGGCAACGAGATTGTGCAAGAATATGGTGAGTCCCCTTGGTCTTCCCCCTTTTCATCGGAGAGTAAACATGATGTACTAACACTTGCAAGACCACCATCTCGCGGCCATCAACACAATCACATTCGTCGACGAAGGCCGCCGCTTCATGACGACATCAGACGACAAGTCCCTCCGCGCCTGGGACTACAACATCCCAGTCCCGATCAAGTACATCGCCGAGCCCTACATGTACCCAATGACGCGCGCAGCGCCGCACCCGAGCGGGAAATACGTCGCCTTCCAGTCGTCGGACAACCAGATTGTTGTGTATGGCGCCAACGACAAGTTCCGGCAGAACCGCAAGAAGTCGTACCGGGGCCACAACAACGCCGGCACGGCCATCGACGTCAGCGTCAGCCCCGACGGGCAGTTTTTGGCGAGCGGCGATACGCAGGGGTTCGTGTGCTTCTGGGACTGGAAGACGTGTAAGATGTATCATAAGCTCAAGGCGGGAGATCAGGCTGTCACGTGTGTCGCGTGGCATCCGCAGGAGACGAGCAAGTTTGTTTCGGCGGGGGCGGAGGGGGATATTCGGTATTGGGATTAAGGGAGGTGCGTATTCTTCAGGAGAAGATATCATCAGTCTGTGTCTAGATGAGAGAAAGGTCTTTGTATTGTATCGTAGGCATTGCTCGGCGTTGGGAGGGGATCAAAATGATATCGCCCGTTACTTGTCTCATCACTCACAATGCCAATCTTGATAACCTTGATCTGTTTCGTTTGGTATTGGAACGTACACCGTTCACACCAACGCTCATCGATCCCAGCAGCTTTTGGTTGTTTCTTTTTCGAATCAAGGTAGCTCTATCCCACCTCGACATCGCTGTCCTCCTTCCGCCCTTGGGCACCCGTGGCTATGTACCCCCCTCAAACCCATTCCTCACGCCAGCACAGCAGCGCTCGGCTAGGTCGGTGAGTTTAGGTCGAGCTGCGTGCGAGGTGGTCGAATTGGTTAAATAAATAAAACAAAATATTCCCATGAAGTCGGAGTCCGGGTTGACTGAGGGGCGCGCTATTCATGTCCGGGCAGGGGCGTGAGTTCTTTGGTATGTTATCCCCTCATATTTTCTTCCTTTTCTTTTTGATTCTCCAGAGGAGGGGGTTTTCTTTTTATTTTTCCTCCGTTGAAATGCGGAGACGTGGATATATGTAATAGTCAATGCTATGAGATTGATCATCTATTGTCTTGGTGATGTATTACACGGCAGTGCTTCATACTGCACACCTGGGCTGAATAGATCGCGATACCTTCACCATCGAAGCTCACCTATGACAAATGTACACCAAATACGAGCAGCAATCTATCTACCTCAATCACATGTCTCGTATTCACACGGGGAAAAGGCCGCCCATATTCCAACTACTCGTCCCTTATCTTAGTGCGCGCAATTTCGACGGCTCAGCTACTAAACAGTTAGAACCTCGCCTACACGCGCGGCGCACGCTTCTTACTAAGAAAAATCCCCCCGCTAATTCAGGGGAGAGATAGAGACACACGGGAGTTTCGGGGAGTTTTGGGGAGAGGGGTGATGGCCGGAATCGGACTACGTTGTATGTGTGTCAGACGCGGCCTTGTTACCCCAACGTTTATGTACCGTATGCATGCGTGTCTCACTGCTTTGGGATGATATCGTAACATCGTAACATCGTACGGTGACGGAGGGGGTGCAGAGAACTCCAGACATCACATAGTCTCTTTTACTTCAACGTCCGCTGTGGGATGATACTGGTCTTTGATCAATTCAATTGAGAGAGCTTCAGCAAAAACAAGCAATTTCATCACGATTTCACGGAATCACCAGGGCGAGGGAAGATGGATTCAGTTTATTGGGATATCTTCCCCGGCGCAGAAGACGCCGAGGACGCGGAGAGCGTAGAGGAAGAGGAAGCAGACGAGGATGCCAACGCTTGCTCGCCAGACACCAAGGTTCCCTGCGAGAAATGCAGACGCAACAAACGCTCATCATGTAAACGATGCCGCGAGCGACAGCGACAGCTTCAGCTTCAACACCAGCCAGGTCCTCACACTCGTCCTCGGCGAACGAGGAAATCGTCTCTCGAAATCGCATGCTTTCCAGATCGCTCACCGTCTCCATCTTCATCTTCCTCCTCCTCCTCCTCTTCTTCTTTCAATCCATCACATCCCCTTTATCCCTCACCAACACCACCACCAGACTTTCTTAGGATGGCGCAAGACGCAATCCCAGAAGTCATCCTCCAACAACCGCCAAACGACGCCCCAGCAGAAACCGCAACAACACAGAAAAGCACACTTACCGTTCCCCCCGGAGGCCCGAGTTTCGCAGCGGTGTATACCAACTCCCCGTCGTGGATGTCGACGTATACTTCCTCGACGTGCGCGACGACGTATACCACCACTCACGAACGTTCCCGCAGAGACGGATTCGGCAGCGGGGAGAAGGACGCCGGGGACGGGTGGCTGGACGTCAGGAGGCGGAGGAGGCCGAGGCCGCCTTATCCTAGACGTCCGAGGACCGTCGGGCGATGGGATCAGGAGGGAAGGTCGTCGATGGCTGCGGTGACGTCGTCGATGATGAGGTCTAGATGGGGCGAGGAGACGGTGGAGGGGTGGGACGAGGGTGAGATGGAGAGCGGGAGCTATTGTGTTGTTGAGGGGGCGCGGTGGGAGGAGCAGAGGTTCATCACGTCCAGGAGGCAGGCGAAGGCGGTGGGGACGGGGATGGGGAAGAGCGGTGCGCGGAGAAGGGGGAGGGGGGGCTGGGGGGGTGTTGTTGAGTATGGAGCCAAGAGAAGAGCGAGAGTGGTTCCGTTGGTTGATCCGCCTGTGCCGAGGATTCTTTTCGATTTGCTTGCGATGAGGATGGGGATTTCGAGGACGGAATCGAGGGAGGCAGGGAGAAAGGGGCTATGGGGATTGCCTTTCGTGGAAGGGAGAGGGCATTCCCGGGCCGTATTCGCCATGGCGTATGTGAGAGGGACGGCTCATGTTAAGGGCCTTTGGGGATTGTTAAGCGATAGATGCGAAGACACTGGGGGTATCTTGGGGTCTGGTGCTGATGGAGGGGTTTGGAGCGTTTTGCTGAGATATTTTGGGGATATACTTGGCTTCTCTAGGCATGAAGGGCAAGCTGATGTAGATTAGAATGGTCGTCTGGAAGCGATTTTGGCTTATCATCATCGATACATTCATCACAAGGCTGCTAGTCACCAATGTTTGACATCGTGTATTTTGTCTCGAAATTTGAAATTTATGATGCCTCCCTCCTTCTAACCTGAAGTCCCAGATATCCATGAGGCCAACACTCTCAAATACCAATGAGAATGATGGCGGCCTTCCTGATATCCCAATGTCCTTAACCCACGCCGGCTGACTGAATATGTTCTGTGGACCTCTGCAACAAGAAGAATGGCGCGAACTGATATAGTAAACTCTAGAACCCCGGACCGGGCGCCCTAAGCGGGAGCAGCCTCCTTCTTCTGACTGCGAAGGCCAGTTCTGGTTCCCGGCATTGCCGGCTTGCCTGGTTTGGCAGACCTCTTCTTCGGAGCTTTGACAGGCTTCTCCTCTCCCTCCTTGATATCCTCCTTGGCATCCTTCCTCGTCGTCTTCCCATCGTTCTCTTTGGGGGGCTTCTCTACTTTGCTCTTCGAGCCCTTGGGCTTGGTAGTCGTCTTCTTGGATGTGGAGGCAGTCTGTTGGGGCTTGGTGTCGGACTTCTTGGCCGTCTTGACCTTCTTGTTGGGCCTCTTGTCAGACGAGTCGTCTTGATTCTTCTCTTCTTCATCTTTGCCGCCCTCTTCGACTTCCTCTTCTGCCTTGCGCTTCTGACCCTTGGGCACTGTATCTGTCTTCTTGGATGTGGTAACAGCCTGTTTGGGCTCGGTTCCGGACTTCTTGACCGTCTTGACCTTCTTGATGGGCCTCTTTCTAGATTCATTGTCTCGGTTCTTCTTTCCCTCACCTTTGCCGTCATCTTCGACCTCCTCTTCTGCTTTGCGCTTATGGCCCTTGGGCGCAGTATCTGTCTCCTTGGGAAGGGGGGAAGGGCTCATGGGCTCGCAGCCGCCGTAAAGCGGAGCGTTTGCAGTCATCTCGGCTGGCCTCTTGTCAGGAGATTGGGTGTCCTCATCGCCTGAGTCCTTCTTTCCGGTGTCTTTGCCGCACGCTTCGAGATCCTCCTCCGCCTTGCGCTTCTGTGACTGCGGCGGGGTGGTAGTCTTCTTGGGTGCGGCCTTGGTTGTGTTGGCGGTATTCTTCCTCGCCGGCTGCTTTTTGGCCTTGCTAGCCGTCTTCTTCTGCTTCTTCGCTCCCCTGACCTCGGCGTCCTTCTCGTCAGACTCCAAGTCCTCAGACTTTCTCTTGGAACCAATTGAAGGGGACATATCCGGGGGAGAGGCAGTATCCGCTGAGTAGCTGGAGCGACCACCCAAGGTTGGCTTGATACTCTTGACCGCATCGCTTATCTCGATGCTGGGAAGAGGAGCCGCCGAGCCCGTACGCGACGTGCGCGAGCTGCGGCTGCTTCGGGGGCCCCAGGCCCCGGGGAGACGGCTGGGACTCGTCGGTCCACTAAAGTACGACGAGTGTCCAGGCGGGAACAGGCCGGGCAAGTTGGGAGGCTTCCCGATGACATCCTCAATGGTGATCTCGACCTCTGCGAGGCGGCGCTCGTTTCTGGCGCTGCGGGAGTCGGTCACCTCTTGTTTTTCCTCGAGCTGGTCCTGCTGGTCTTGGAGCTTGTCCTGGCGCTTCTTCGTCTCGATGTTAGTTTCGCGGAATTCTTCCTTTAGGGCCTTGACTTGGGCTTCGATGTTGTTTTGCCACTGGAGGAGGTTTACCTGGGTCTTGTAGACGAGTTCCTCGCCCATGTCGAGGCGCGCTCTGAGGGCCTGGATCTGCTCGAGGCTGGAGTTGCGAGGGTGGAAGTCAACCAGGATTGGCTTTGATGATGTACTCTTGAGGGACCTATGGGGTGAGGCCGTGAGATATCGCTTCTTGGATTGTTGGGCTTGGGCCGGGGGCGTCCCCTTGAGTTCGAGCTTCACCTTGGTAGGAGGCGAGCTGGGCGGAGTACTCTTGATGGAAGTCTCCTTTATGGGAGTCTTCTTGAGGGGAGTCTTCTTGACTGGAGTCGTGGATTTGGATGAAGCGGCGTACTCAGTAGGGGGTGTGCTTTCTGCTGGAGATGGGCTGGCAGCAACCCTTCTTTCTTGGGACAAGAATGAGGATTCGATGTCGTCTTCCTCCTCTTCGTCCTCTGAAGGTGAATATTCCACGATCCCATCTCCGGTCGGATCATAATCCGTGCTTGGGCTTCGGGAGATTTGAATCTGATACTGGCTGAAATTATCTCCAGTTGGGCCAGCGAGGGCGTTCCTTCCTCCTGAAAAACCAGTTTCCGAGGAGGAGCTCGGCGCCATGTTGGCTTCAGGCGCGATATATGATGAACTCGCCATAATGTGGGAAGGATGAGTTTGAGTTTGAGTGAGATGATTTGGAGGAGATGTGAAGTAGAGAAAAGGACGATGTGGAATCTGAGTTTGAGGTGATTGCTGTGTAAGTGTGTGTATGTATGTGTGTGTGGGTTTGCGCGGGTGAGTGTGTGTGTGTGTGTGTGGTGAGCGAGAAAGTTACGAGCCAACAGAAAGGAGACGGGACTCGACCAGACGGGTATTTGAAGAAGGCGCCTCACCACCCGGCCTGACCAGGCGTCCACTTGTTCAGGGTTTCCAAACATATCCTTCAAAGGGTCCCCGAGTTGTTTCTTCACCACAGTCAAAGGACACAAAGGCCTACTTTTATTTCACCGGCGGTAAAGATTCAACACAAGTTGTGGGATTTCATCAAAGGCATTGTCTCCCATCATTGTCTGATTGTTCTCAAGTCATCGAGTCTTTCTCACAATGCACGTAGCATATTTACAGTAATATCTCTTACACAGTGAGAGAACTGAATTTGATCGATCACTTTGACCTGCAGACAACGCGACTTCCCCTTTTAGTTTCCTCTCCATCGTGCCTTCCCTGACCGACTTCCAGACTTAGATCAGAATTTTTCAACCAAACCCAATGCCTCGTCTCATTTCACCAAAGATGGTTCTACCCGCATCGAACAGTTACTAGACAGGCTTGAGAACCATAAGATCGATCAATGAATAAGCAATCTCGGCCGCGGCGAGAACAGTGGTTTCCCCGTTACTATCGTACGCGGGCGCGACCTCAACTACGTCAGCACCCACAATGGAGAGTCCCTCGAGGCCATCGAGTATGGTAAGAAGCTCCCTCGTAGACCAGCCACCAGGCTCGGCAGTGCCAGTTGCTATGAAAGTCAGCTTTCTTCCTGCAGCCTTTTCTAAACTACTCACCAGGCGCAAAAGCCGGATCAAGCACGTCAATATCAACGCTGATGTATACTCGAGTGTCGCCGACTCGCTCCTTAAGCTTCGAGATGACTCCTTTGGCTCCAAGCTTATCCAAGTCGCGTGCGGTGACAATCTCGAAACCACATCGGACGTCATTGCGAAGGTCACCCTTTCTTCGGATCAACGGGGCTCTGATACCCGCGTGGATCGAGGTATTCAAGATCAGATTCTGGGCCATTTAGCTTCTCGTGAGGGGAATACCGTCGGGCTTGGCCAGACAGACCTCTTCGTGGGCAATATGAAGGAATGTTCCATGGTTGAGGCCTCTATTATCGGTCAAAATGTGGCAGTGAGCGTGAGTGTATTGTTGTCTTCACTTACGCGTAGTCGGAGATTCCACCACCTGGAGCGCGAAAAGGCGATCCGTATTAACTTGGGGAGCATCGGAAATCTTTAGTGGATGACTTACCCAAGACCAATGGATCCCAAGTGTCTTTCTGGATGATAAGCTAGGTACGAAGATCTCCTGACGGAAAGTACTGACCGATGTGACTGTCAAAGTGAATGACTGAGACGGGACCCCATCTCTGGTAGGTCGACCGCAAAGCAGACAGGGTCGTCGTGTGGTCTCCTCCAAGCGTGAGTATTCTAGGCGTGATTGATACCGAAGAGTTCGCTGCTGGTCTGCCAGAAATGACCTTTCGCTCCTTCATCAGCTCATGGTCCAAGAGATAGCTCAGCAGAACATCACTCAACGGTATGGGCTTTGTCTAGAAGCTTAAGAGAAGCCGTGTTGTCCAGCCAAGTCAGGCGGGCATCGCCGCAGTCTACAATTGTCGCCCAGTCTTGCAGAGGGTTTCTTCCTGGTGGACATTTCTCGTCAGATGAAGACATCTATCAATACGAGGCCCATGCAGAAGAGGTACCCGTGTACACGCTCCATTCTCCCGGCGATTTTCTTTGACTGCCGCTTCGAATGGCAGGTGGACCAAAGCGAGCTCCAGGCCGGCCAGTGGTAGTCTACTCTGGGGGTCAAATGATGGCTCTGCAAAGTATATAGAAGCGAGCTGCAGTTACCGTGTCGTGTGACGCACCAAAGACCGCAATGTCATACTTATGACCCTCCGCATTCTCGTCAGAGAAGCAATCTACGAAGGGCAAGTTGGCAAAAGTTCTCAGCCCGGCAAACGATGTAGCGCCATAGATATTCAGATCATCGTCATTCTCTGCGCTTAATGGCACTTGATGACCATGAGGTAACTGGATGTTGTCAAATGCTTGGTGGGGGACTTTCCAAGTAGCCCCGCCATGGACATGGAGGAACAGGAGGGAAATAGGAAAAAATGATGAAGTATACATCGTTGTCATGAAAATACAATCGCTTTATTGGCTTTGCAATTGACGAGACGGCAGCATGAAAGAATTATTTCATGTTTCCTCAGAGGAACAAGGAAAGTGTTTTCGTGCCTCTCTTCAAAAGGCAGGTCGACGTCATAGTCTTATTGGCCTCGTTCCCCTGTGCCTTATCGCGACCCCTCACTGAAGCTCCCTCAACATCAGCCACATGTTCGTGTAAGTGGAGGTGTGGCTTGAACCCCGAGAGGCATCCTTCCCTCTATGAAGTCGAATTTGAAGGGAAGGCACGACACCGGTGATAAACTGGAATGCTCCTTCTCAGAAACATCACGCCGTTTAGGTACCTCGTCTTGCGCAGAGGCCATGGACGGGAGCCTGAGGTGCCCGGCGCAACTGCAAGCTGCTGCAACTCGAACCTCCCTCCAACATCATCCATCTATGTTGCCGTGCCCTCAATCATCAATATTGGCATCGGGCATCAGTCACTCTCGTCGCATCCTTTCCTTCTTCTGTTGCCAGGCCATAATCAATCCAGACCCTCTTCATAAGCCTGCCCTTGAGTATCTTTAGCATCGAAACACATTTCTATCCCTCATGTCGAACGACATACCCTCATCTCGATCCTCGGCCACGAGCTCACGCTCATGTAAGGCCCTCAGAAACCGAGTCAAATGTCAGCAGATTGAACACGACGGCGCGGTTGACGATGACGATAACACGGAAGAAGGACCCCCGCGGCCCCTCCCCAAGAGTGACTACAAGTCCATGTACAAATGGTGGAATGACGAATACCGCCTGGCTGCGGTCTGCGCCGTCGGGGCCATCGTCCTCGGCATCATCTTCAAGCACTACGACCGGCAGCCAATCCCCCAACTGATGAATGGCGACCTCGACTTCGATGTCATCATTGTAGCCATGTTCACTTGCGTCCGCGTAGCCATGAGCGGAATTGTCGAGACCTCCATTAGCCAATCTGCCTGGATCTGGGTATCTGAGGCCCGGCAACGTCGCACCAATGACAGTCGAGCCAGGTTGGAAGACTTCAAGATATACGACGAGGCTTCGCGCGGGCTTTGGGGCAGCTTGTATCTCTTGTGGCGACTGAGAGGAAGGTAGCGCCGTGGAGCCCCTGTTCTCTTTGCCCGGGATATTGTGCTAACTGATGGCGTGCCAGACATCTTGCTTGTATTGGCGCCTTGATTGTCATTCTTGTCCACGGACTCGAGGCATCCTCCCAGCAGCTCTACCGATACGAGGGCCAGCCACGACAAAGTCTTGATAAACCCGAAGTCGCAGCGCCAGAGAGAAGCGATTTATAGGACTACACTGTCTCTCGGGGCCTTGACCCGCGTGAGTGATGATGCGTCACTTGTCATATGTATCACTTACTAACACGTAGCAGTACCGGCTCTCAATGTGTCCACCAAAGCAGCCGTATACAGCGGTATCCTATCCGTGGATGTCAAGAACCTGGATCTCGAATGCTCCGGTGTGAACTGCACGTGGCCCATCGTGCCAACGCTGGCAGTTTGCGGCGAGTGCAACCCCCTAGACATAAGGACTATATGTACCGACAAATCGCAAACATGCCGGTACAGCTTGCCCAGAGGCACATCAGTGGAAATCAGCCGAAATGCACCGACCACGGAGCGATTCAAGACATCAGCCTCGGAGGGCATCATGCACCGAATGAACTCGACGACGCAAACATATATATCCGTCTTCGACGTCCTGTGGGTCATGAAAAGCAAGCGAGAGACGAAAAGTATTGCTCAGGAATGCGCCTTGTGGTTCTGCATGAAGAGCTTTAACTTTACGATCACCGAAAGCCAGCTTAAGCAAAAGCTTACCATGAGCTGGAACACAACGCGGTTTGAATTGGGCAACAGCGCGCACGGCGACGAGTACGTCTTCGTCGATATCCCAGCAAAAGACATGAACGTTGCGCCAGAGTCCAGGTACAGTATTTCCAAAAAAGCGCTGGCTGCATTGCGGAGGTTCGTCGACCCGCTTGTCGAAACCACGTACGAGAAACAATACACGATCATCAACTTTTCGTCAGATTGGGCCGAAGGGATCTACAACGCGAGAGAAAAACTACCGGAATGGATTGGCCGATTTAGCATCAGTCTGACGAATGAGGTGCGACTCCACGGCGACATTCGGGACAAGGACCGGCATCGATATACCGGACGAGCGTATGAGATGGTGCAGGTCATTATGGTAGACTGGCTGTGGATGCTGTTCCCAACAGGCCTAATCATTATCAGCATCTACTACCTCTTGCATACTATCATCAGAGGCGCTCGCGACGGCATATCGGTGTGGAAAAGCGACTCGTTGCCGATGCTCTTCTGTCGGATTGATGCCTCGATTCTCGCAAAGGTCGGCGATGGTATGGATGTGCCCAACGGACTGGATGTAGCTGTCGGTAATGTCAATGTATGTTTATTGAGGGAAGATGATGGCGACTGGGTGTTCAAGCCAATCGAGAGCGAGGAGTCGTCTTCTTCGTCGTCGTCGTCCGAATTTGATTCTGACTGAGAGGCATCGTGGCGGTTCTAGTCAGAAGTCGGAATCGGTGGTGGTACGCATTGATACGATACATCATCTCATCCTACAAGCTCCGTCAATGAACAAGGGCATTTGACATAAAAGAGTGTCAGTCTGCGAGGTGTGTGTCCTCTCTTTAATTCCGCGTTCAGTGGTCCCTGACATGGCTGGGCGGAAGACCTCCGAAAGCTCGGGGTCTCGCTGTTCATGATGACGCTAATGACTCGACCCCAGCCGTCAGTCGGGGAATAGGTTCGTCATGTTTGATTGGTCTGCATCGCCGAGCTCTTGTGGAGTTCTGTGTGAAGTCGCCGCGGCGACTCGGCAGAGGTGTTCGGCAAAGGAGTTCCTTGAAATTGACTGACTCTCATTTGCTATGTCAAATTCAACCCTCCACTTTGCAGTTTCGCAGTCCTCGGCCCCAAGTTCTAGCCCCAAGTCCAAGGTAAAGCACTACCTGTTCGGCATGCACTTCGCTAGGAGGGTGAGCGGATTACAGATCATTAGTGTTTGTGCCAAGTCGGCGGAGGAGACGAGTCAGAGTACGAGAATGAGAGAGGGAGGGAGCGAGAGAAAGGACCAATTCCGATCATTCCGATACAAACCCGGCTCCAGGCTTGGACGATAGCTTCCCCTGGTCACAGCTCCGGCCCTGTAGGATGCCAACTCAGGCTCGACCTCCGTGTCTTCGTGTCCACCACCATGCCGTCCCCAGACATCTAGCGTCAAAGGATCGTCGACGGCTCCAGACCCCAGAATTTCGACTCCAGAGTTGCCATGCAAGCCTTTCCCCTCTTCCCCACACCCCGCAAAGTGTTCCCGTCTTCCGTCTTCGGTCAAGTCGCTGAGTCCAGGTCTGGGAATCTCAACATTTTCAACTCTTTTTTCGCGTCATCTGGTCCCGTACTCAGTCTTCGTAGACGAGCTTCTCCTCGCTCCAATCCCTTATCTTGCGGATCCCAGCGAAGAACCCTTCTTGCGCGATCCAAAGTCTAGATAATGGCATCTGAGACCACACCTCCCGAAGTCTCCAAGCCCAAGTCGCAAACCAAAGTCCGCAAGCGCGCACCAAAAGCCTGTCTATCATGTCGCGCACGCAAAGTAAGATGCGACGTGTCTCAACGAGGTCGCCCATGCATGAACTGCTATCTCGACAGTGAGAATTGTGTAGTTACTGGGCGCGCGTCACGGTTGTAAGTAGCTGTGTTCTTGTTCCTCACTGTTGGTAATACTAACCCAGCGAACAGTCGAAGAGCGCAACAAAGAGATGGCGTCGACAATGCGGAAGGTGCATATCCGCAGTACGATGCAGAGGCCGGCGAGCAACTTCTTGTCGTAGATCCCATCACAGCAACGAGTGACGACTCTCGGCCGGTTCCCTCAAACGAATCAGACACCCAACCCCAAACCTGCAATCATTCACACGGCGACGACATGACAATACCAACAGTCACCGAAAGACCAAAGAGCCCGGTGGTTAATGATAGCCATGCCCAGAATGAGCAACCAAAGCCAAGCCGTCACCATGTCAGGCCTTCAGTAGCATCAACGAGCACGTACGAAGCTTTCCCTTCCAATTCTCTGCCCTTGAACAATCAGCCATTTACGACGCCATATACCGCTGGCCAACAAAACACAATGGGGATAGACGTAACATACTCCTTTTACCCATTCTTGACATTGGGCAATCTTCACGGAATACCACCACAGGATGTGAACTATCTGGAGCTCCAGGGATGTCTTAGGGTGCCAACACGCGCCATACTCGACGAGTTTGTTCAGCAATACTTTCTGCATGTCCACCCACTGCTGCCAATGATCCATGAGGGCGACTTTTGGGATCTCTACTGCGTGAATCCCACCAGTTACGTACCTGGCGAAAAGCTCTCACTGCTCGTCTTCCAGGCAATGCTATTCGCTTGTTGCAACGTACGTTATCCCCATCAATCTTACGGGTTTTCAGGGCACAATTCTGACAATCAAATAGTTTGTCTCCCGCCAGACTATCAAGACACTCGGCTTTCCGACCGTTCGAGCCTGTCGCGCCGCTTTCTATAGACGTGCCAAGCTTCTTTACGACCTCGAATCCGAATCGTCTCCCCTCGCAATTTCACAGGCTTCCCTCCTACTCTCCTTCTGGTCTTCGCCTACCTCCCCGGCATTCCGCAAATCAAATACAGCCTGGCTCTCCATCGCGATTCAAAATGCGAAAATGGTCGAAGCCCATCACTACGCCACGCGCACAGCATCTCCCAAGAAGCGCAACCTTCTCAAGCGTCTCTGGTGGTGCTGTATCATTCGCGATCGAATTGTCGGCCTAGGTCTCCGCCGCAGTCTGCAGATCACGCGGAGTCATTTCACTTTTGATGCGAATGAAAGTCTTGGGTATTCAGACTTGGCTGATGAGATTGAGAGGAGCAGGGTGTATAATCCAGGCACAAAACGGTGCTTGGCTGAGATTTTGGAGCAACTGGTGGAGCTGTGCGTTGTGCTGACCGATATCCTGATCCTGGTTTTCCCGCTAGATGACAGGCCGGGTTGGGGCAGAGAGATGCGAGCCGAAGAACAGGACAAGGTGCGAGTATGTAAAGTTGCGCTACAGAGATGGTATAAGGGTGTGACGATGCGGTTTCCCGTGTTTGGTGGCGGTTCCGTCGCGAGGATGAAGGCACCAGGGAACGAGTTCCAACACGACTCAGTGATATTGTACACCAATTTGATGTACATGTACTATCAGTAAGTTCTTATGTGGATTCAACCTACTGACAATTACTAACATGCGCTCAGTTCCTCTCGAGTGGTTCTCAGTCACCACGAAGTCCTGCACCTCGCCATCACCGCCGCAGCGCCATCTTTCAACGCCATCCCGACCTCCGATCTCATCATCATCGGAGAGAACCGACACGAGCTTCAGGATGCCGCTTCCGGGGTAACAGAGTGTCTCAAGGAACTCATCCATCTTCGACTCGCACGCTGGCTGCCCATCAGTGCCGTAGCCTGTACCGCTTTGCCGCTGGTCCTGCACATCCTTGACGTGAAGCTATCGGCATCCTCACGATCCTTCGACCCCAACACGCAATCGGCGCTCAAGCAACATCGCCTCAACATTCTCATAGAAGCTATGAAAACCTACCAACCACAATACGACGGCGTCGACTGGGTCAGCGAGACGATTCGACACATTGTTAATCTAGCGCAAATTGAATCGCCAGCACCAGGGGATTCCGCAAACGCAACCCCCGGCGGCGCAGTCATCGCAGACTGGACCGACATCCTCGCCTCCCAGCCAAGCTCCTATCTCCGCCTAGCCCTGACGATGGACCTCTCCCTCAGCAAAGGACGGCTGCCCGAAGATGGAGACTTCCCAGTTAGCCTCCGAGGTCTCTTCACGGGCGGCTTCAATCCGCTCAAGGCGCTCCTCGAACGTAAGAGGAACGAAAGTAGGGACGCCAGCAGGGATACGAGCGGAGGGTTCTCCGAGCCTACAGAGCACGCCACGGATCGCATGACGGACTTTGACGCCGCAGCAATGAGAGTAAACCTGTTCCGAATGCAGCCGCCGGGCACCGTGACAGCCATCCCGTCAGACGAGGACTCCACCTCGCCGACATCAGCGGGCAGCCACAGCCAGGACAGCGTCACGGACGACACATCACCGCGCACCGGGGCGGAATATCAAAGCAGCTGCGACGTCAACATGGCAGATCGTCCGCCGTCGGAGGGCATCGACGGTCTGGCTGCCGAGGTTCTTGCCGCGTTTCCGCTAGATGATCAGTCTGCGAACGTAGCTGCGGGCGACTTTGATGGCATGTACTTTGACGGGATGCCGGGGCATGACGGGCCTGGCGGGTGGATCGAGACGGCGTGGAATGAGCTTACGCAGCATTCCGCTGCACCTGGGTCTGGCGAGGATCGCGGGGATAGGGATACGGCAAGAGTGCTGCTTGATGCGTTGAGGGAAGGGGAGCTGGCGGAGTGTGCCGCTTGACATATGTATGAATGTAAGGGTAAAATGATGACTTGACGACTTTATGTACACAGGGAGTGGTATACTCACTCTCGGCCTCCTGCGTAGATAGTCAGTGGGCTATCGGTATAATACTTGAGATTTGTTTTCTGGTAACTCGGCTCTCTTGACGGTTCAGATTCAATAATGGCTTCAGCTTCTGTGACCCCCGTTCCTGCGATATAGTTTCCAGCTGTTTGAGACGACCGCTCCCCGTCGTCGTCTATCTAGCCTGACACCATGATCATTCTTCAAATGCTCGGGATTGTCCAGGGGACAAAATCGGAAGTCGAAGTCCGAGAACGCAACGTGGATTGCTCTCCCCCGCACGCTGCATCTTTTTACACTTGGGGTACATGAACCCCTAGATTCTCCAAGTCCGCTGCATTCACCCTGGCGTGTCATCTGCCCCGCTGCCAAGGATTTCTTTTTAAGGTTGAGCGGGGGTGGTACTGTCGATCTTCGGTCGTCGGCAGAGAACCACGGCGAAGTGGATGTGCCGGGAACATGAGGCTCCGTGTCTCGGTATGCCGGTGTTGACCGTCATTACCGTGATTATTCAAATGATGAAGCCGGTGTTCAATCTAGCATGGACTTATTGACTTCTACTACGGTCAAGAACAAATCTGTTTGAGGAAAAAGGGCTTGAGGGTTGGGGGGTTTGTGTTGTGGCTATATGAAGAGCGCTGGAGGTGTATCGCGTGTATCGTCAACAACCCGAATAGCTGGATTTCATAGAAGGGAATCAAACAAGATACCCATGAGTAGGTGTCAAACACCTCTGGAAGGGAAGGTGCTCGTTGCTACACCATGTCCTGCTCATGCAGTGACGACCCAGCACCTGTCTCAACATTTGGCAGGTATCATGTATCATCCGCTGCCAACAACGCGTCTACTTCACGCCTAAAAGACAACCGATTTCTCACATAGCATCCTACAAATCCTACACCATCAAACCATCCGTCAGCCATGTCCTCCATAGGGA